ATGACTCTCCTCAAACACACCAAATCCATCAATACCACGCACACATATTCAGTTAAAGCCCAAATTCATCTAGCTTCCCAGAGCTTCCCCCAGGATACTGCTGTACGTAAGACCCACCAGCAGCTTGGACAAAGCATTCTGTACCTGAAGCGCTCAATGTCTTCATCAGAAACAAGCTTCTTAATAAGCAGATAACCGTTGTCTTCATAGAACTGCCTTTGCTCTGTAGTGAGGATATCATTGTCCAGAGTAAAGCTGACAGAGACAAGGGAGACACATTATGCAGAGCAGGAGCAATGGGAGCACCAGATCCCCAACCAGTGCCTGAAGGAAATCAGTGAGAAATGTTCCCCATGGCAGGTGCTGTGTTTTTTTGGTTAGTTTGGCTTTTCCTCTCTACAAAGGACATTATAACTTACCGAAACTTCCCTGGCTGATGAACAGCACTAACGTATGCTGAAGTAGGAATGAACGTCTGGAATGAAAATTAAGGAACTCCAGCACAAAAGAGTAGAACATCTACACATCCTGAATCCTACAGTATGGTTCACATTAAAAGAACATGCTGTGCTGGACACCTTGCTTTTGTTCTTGCCTATTCTGCTTCTGAGAGATCTTCCCCATCTTGTGAGCAGCATGCCTGGCAAAGAACTATAACTATAGTACAGCCTTGTCCACACATATAGGAAAGTCAATACAATGCCTGAGATTCCAGAGGAGGCCATAGGGTTTATCTCCAAGAACATAAAGATATTTAATGAGATGCTCATTGGAAACGTTTAGTTGCCCAGTCTCCTTATGCTCTGGAGAACAGTCAAACCTATCCAAAGCCTGCACTGTCCCCTGGAGGTGCTTCTCCATCTCTCCCCTCCAATCACTGCTGTGCCAAATTCAGAGCCAGAATTCAAACGAGATGAACCTGGGGCTTCACATTCACACACAGCACTGGTGCAAAGCTGCTCTGCCTCCTCCAAACCTATCAGGGGAAGCACAGAGAAAGGAAAGCCTATGGGCCCTCCACAACAGCTCGTTTCAACTGTTTTAAATAAACACAACTGCATTATCTTATGCAGAGACAGTACAGCTCCACCCACAGAACAATTAAGCATCACTTGATAATGAACACTCACAACAGCTTTGTACAACAGTATTGAAACCTGACCCAGGGGAAAGGACAAAAGCATATATATAAAGTGAATCTCTGTGTCTGCGCTGGTCCAACTGGGAGACCCCTGAGCTTTGTGATTATCTTATAGAGATTGCAGACCTTCCTCCATGGCTCACCACAACCTTTTCCACGTGCCATAAAGGCATGTGCTCCTCTCGTAGGCTTTGTGATCAGTTTTCTCTACAATCCATGCGCTGGGAGTCGAATACAGTGGGAGAAAATCATGGCACGTGAACAGGAGCGTAGAAAAAAAACCAATGAGCCAAAGGAGGAAAATGTGATGAAAACTGGATAGAAGAATGATGGAAGAGGACACAGGGAATCCAGCTCAAAAGGGACCCAGCAGATGCCACTGCAAGGGGTTTTCCTTAAGGACAGCACTACTGCTGGAAGGGAGCTGTGACCTCTGGCATCTCAGTTTTGTGAAGACACAAAGTATTTAAACCATTCTCTTTCCATCACACACCATCCTCAGTTGGGAATCAACTGCTCTCAGAATAAACATTTTAACAAACTGTGCAGACAGAGTAGCACCTGGGAGCACACACAAGCAAGCAAATCCTTCTGGAAAAGGCTGCACCAGAGGCACAGCAAAGTTCAAGATCCCCAGCACCATCAGTATGTGACCTGAAGGAGTCAAACACCCACATAACACCACCTGTGTGGCTGCTTTCTGAATCCACTACTTGCCTGGCACGTTTGAGGTGACCTTTAATTCTACAGCCTGTGTGCTACTTTTTTTTCCTTCACTGTTGTGTAGAAATGTCTGATCTTCTAATAGACATATTCCAACATTATGAATGTTCATGTCTCTATTATACCAATCCATAAGAGCAAATACAAGAGGAAGGAGAGAGATTCTCTGGGAGGAAAAGTGACTGTCAAGCTACATTCACCAAACCCACACATTAAAACAAAACCAGTACACCAAGGGGACATAAATCAAACAAACCTATGCTCACTGGTTTCTGTCATTTCCTTTACCCACATATCTTTCTAATTCCAGCCCAGTTTAATCATAATTTTGTCCTAATCTCTTCGTATTACAGCCTTCACAGCTGGATTTACAAACAGCAGCGCGTGTAACTGGCTCCAGACTTGGAGGGTCCCCTGGGTTTGCCTGAAACAACGCACACCAGCCAAGCAATAATGAGGAAAAGCTCTGGGATCCCATCAGGAATTTACTCTCCCCTTACAAGCAGGGTAATTTTACTTCAGGTTTTGTTCTTGCATGCATCTTTATCAATCTGATCTAAAGGGTGACAACCCTGCGCACAAGGTGTTGGAACAATATGGTCTTCGAGTTCCTTTCCAGCCATTCCAGTCATTTTATGAGTTAACTATCCTTATGCCTTTATAGTTTTTATACATTTGGAAACTCTCACATCCTACTTAATTGCATCCTCTTCACCAATTTATCATAATTCAAACAATTTGCCAACATTTAGATGAGAATCGGAAACATTTTAATTTTTTTTTTTAAGTAATATTTTTGGCAGCATCTTTAAAAACAGCATCAGCAGACAGCCTTCACTTAACTTCTGGACACGTGGAACTTTCTGTCCCAGTCACGTTTCTTTAATCTACTGTAAAACAGATCACCTCCAATGTCTGCTCACTTCCCATTCACAAGCACAGCACCAACAAAAGCTCTATGCTTTTCCTGCTGCTGGTGTCATGGTCAAAGCCCATACCTGCCAGCAAGGTCTGAGGCTTGTGTGACTGCTAAACCCTGTAGGGTTCATTTCGCTCAAACCAATTAATCTTTAGGATAAACCCTCCTGCTCGCTGCTCCCATTGATGCACACCACGCTAGCCAACCCTGCTGGGCAGGCAGCTGCAACATGAACATGGTTGCGTTTCCATCCTGTTTTATGGTCAGACCCTGAAAAAAAAGCAAACAAAGCCACGTGCCAAGAGGCAGCTAAACATCAGGTGCACACACAGCTCTGTGCCGGGCTATGGGGCTGAAGCCCAAGGGAAAAACAGCAGGCAGCAAGAGGCTTTGGGGATGGGACGGCCGCTGAGCCCGTAAGGCCAGGCAGAACTCCAGGGCGCACACCAACCCTTGGAGCACGCCACCAACCCACAGCCAGGCCACGGCTCCCCAGGAGTGCCAACGTCCCTCGGGCCCTTCCCACCCAACGCACAAAGGATACGAGAGCAGGGGCTGTCCGCGTAGACAGGTGCCGCAGGATGGCGTCCAGCCGAGCCGCCGGCCCCGACCGCTTCCCCAGCTGCTCCATCGCGCCCGGCCGCCGGAGCGCTCGCCCCGCAGCCTGACTCTATATACGCTGCCGGGAGGAGCGGAGCCCCATCATGCTCTGCAGCCTTTGCCTGGGCTGCACATGCGTCAGCAGCCGTGCATGCTCAGAAAGGTTGCGAAAACGCTGCCGGGAGCTAAGAGCTGGCAGGGTTTGCGAATGGGAGGGTGCGTTGGAGGCTACATAGACGCGGGGAAGCTCTGAACGTGTTTTTCTCCCTTCTCTGTCAGCACTGACTGAGCTGCAAGGATTTAATCAGCCCCGTGCGGAGAGCAGTGCTTGGGCTGAGACCATGATTGAAGCTGGCAGTTCCCTTTTAGCTCTCGCGTGTGCGTGCTTACAAATGCTGCGTTCATTTCACTGTTGTTAGCAGCCTCTCAGCTGACTTAACACTGTGAGTTAACTGATGTATTCAAGGAGAAAAATATAAAGGGACTGAAAACAATCATACTTAAGACCTAAGCTCTTAAAGTTCTCATCTTTGCATGTTCCTTGCTGCCACCACACCGTTTAGAACCACACCACTTCTCCACAGTGGACTTCAGGTCCCTCATGGCATTGTTTAGATTACCTTGTGCCATCAGTGTGACAGTCCATTTATCACAGAATCACAGAATGGCCTGGGTTGAAAAGGACCACAATGATCGTTTAGTTTCAACCCCCCTGCTATGTGCAGGGTCACCAACCACCAGACCAGGCTGCCCAGAGCCACATCCAGCCTGGCCTTGGATGCCTCCAGGGATGGAGCATCCACAGCCTCCTTGGCAACCTGTTCCAGTGCTTCATCACCCTCTGTGTGAAAAAATTCCTCCTAACACCCAACCTAAACCTCCCCTGTCTCAGTTTAAGACCATCCCCCCTGTCCTATCACTGTCTCCCTTGTCCCGTTTCCCTTTGAGGCTTGTGCTGTGAAGCATGTGCTGCTGAAAGGTGAGGTTTCTCCTGCTGGAATGTGGATCCTTCATCTTTCCCCATACCCTGCTATGGGGGGACAGGGTGTCTCTGATTACGGCAGAACAAAGCGCTGCAGGGAAACGGAGATGGATGGTAGAGCTGTGGGGGGAGCAGTCTGTTCTCTCAGCTTCTCTCCCATGAGCTGGAGAAGTCTGAATAATAGCATCAGGACTGGAAAATTATGCTAAGAGATACCATTATTGTTGCAATCCAATGTATGCCAACCTTTACACCTGTTCAATTGGTTCATCATTCCCTTCTGCATGAGCAATCCAGACAGGTCCTGCTCCTCAAAACACAGCATTATCACTGCAGTACAGCTCCAGGAGAGTAGGTATGCTGTTGCTCCAGACCATCTTATGATGACAGGGCGTACCCCAAAACTCTGCATTCCAGCTACTTCAGGAGGCTTAAGTCAACAAGCACCTTGATAAAATGAGAGCTCAATGTATTAAGTTGCAGTGTGTTAATGCTACAGATAAACAGAAACCAAGGTATGGATAGTAAGCGATTCTGAACTCATCTCTATCCCCCAAAATCTGAATTCCTTCAAAAACCAGTGGCAAAACTCCCAGTGATTAAAGTAAAGGTGTACCATGACAAGGTGCGTAGCCTAGACTGCATTCCAGTTTCTGGCGCTTGTGGCTGGCAGATCCACATTTCAATCAACATGGAACTCACGGTCATCTGGTTTGTGGCTCCTTTCTGGGACTACAAGAGAACACAGGTGTTCACACAAATGGGACAAACAAGATTAGGAACCCAAAAGAAAAAATCTCATATGACAAAAGTACTGTGTGTAGTCAGAGGCAAGTATACAGCTGTGATGAAGGGACAACAGCAGCAGCTTTGACAACACACATCTCTTTACTGCCAATAAAAATCAGACCTTTGATGAATTCTCATGACTGAGAATTTTCCTATAGATCAGAAGTAAACAGAAAGTTAATAGAAGTCTCCAAAATAAAATTCAAGTGAGGAGGAAGGGAAAAGCAAAACACCATGGGCACAGCTTTATTACAGAAATAGTAATTATAACTGCACTGAAAGCTTTATTTATAATTCAGGTAGGTGCTGTATATATATGCAGATACACCTTTGCAATCCAGACTGAGCCAAGAACTTAATAAATCTTCATCTGTTTCAAAATACAAATCAGAGTCCCATATAAGATAAGGCCAAACAACACTGCTCACATCAGTTATGACACACACCTGTTGCAATGCAGCTGTTTCTTCCCATCTGATAAGCTTAACAGCATCTTATGCAAAAGTGTTTTCTGAGTCTGAAAATAATAAACAAAAAGGATGTTAGTAACTCTGCTGTGCTGATGTAGGAGCTCGAAAACTAAGATGCTTTCATAGATACATATATATTAACACACACAAGTATATATGTGTATACATGCACACACACATTTTTAAACAACAGTTCAAGCAGTTCAATGCACATCACCCTGTGCATTGATCACAATTATTCCTTGTTAATTATTGTTTTTCTGGTAATGCTGCTGCATAAGCCAGTGTTACTGGGTATTGCCAGTAGTGTAAGCAACTCCCGTGAACAGGGTGACCCTGTTACATCACATCCTAGAATGACTGAGGAGGCCTTATCCAACTGCGTACAGGGGAATGGGTGGTTGGGGTTACCACCCTTTGTTTGTACCATCACATTAACACAGTCCACAACCACAGTCCACAAATAAGATAAGACTGATTTCGGGCATTGCCACCACTCTGCTGCAGTGCTGAGAAACACACTGTGACACACATGGCAAGACTCCTGCATTCACAAACTCTAAAACTAGAGAACTGTTCATTTTGTTCTATCTATACTCTGTTTAACTGAAAAAAAAAAAAAAAAAAAAAAGTTCTATTTTATTCAGTAACTTAAAAAGAACGTTACACAGCCAATCATTTCCAGACCCACTGATATGCTTCACTGAAGTACAGACTGAATGTCATGAACCTACAAGAAGAAGCAAGGAGGAGATTCTCTGTTAAGATAACCGATGATGACATTTGTATTTTTATTAAAACCAATGGCATTTAACAGCAGCTGTGTCTTTGCAAATATTTTTAGTGCTATGTCTGTCAGTTTACCAAGTTTTATAGAACACTTTTATACAGCTGTTTTGCATTTGGCTTTTAATGTTTTCTCTTCATTAAATCACAAAACTAATAAAAACGAAACAATCAAAATTTCTATGGCAGTACTGAGATGGTTATAATGCATAGCATTGTAACTTAATAAGCATCTCAACTGACTATTAAAATCCACACTATGATCAGAACTATAATTCCAAAGATGAGGTCTTCTGAAAGCCTAATTTACTGCAGTGGGAAGTGGCAGCTGCTGCAATTCAGCAAAATGAGCCTTTTAAACTTCGATGTGAAGGAAAACAGATGTAGATGAGGCAGTAACACCGAATTTGCCACCAACACATAAGTTCACTTTTCATCATCAGAAGCTTCAAGAAGGGCTTTTTGCAGACACATTAGGAGGAGAAGGGAGACAAAAGAAAATGTGGACCCTGCATAGAATAACTAGAGGGAGGCTAGAAAAAAAGGGCATGGAAACAGTCAAGGGACCTGATACCTTTCCTGCCTTGGGCATTGCTGGCATGGTCTGTCCTCTGGCTTCCCAGGTTTCTAAGCCAAGCAATGAGGTTCCAGAACACAAAGCATCACCTGTGCTGCAGAAGACTGAGCAAGGGACCAGTTAAGCAAACTGGATATTCTCAGATAATGGATGTATTAGTAGGAGACAATACGACCATAAAGCTTTCTCTCCTGCTGCCATGAGAGTCTCATGATGACTGCAAAAAGGTAAAAGCCATACTTGCCTTTATAAAGGGCAAGGGAAACTACAAGCTATACCTCAGTCTCCAAAAAGATTGAGGATAAGTTCTCTTGGATTTGCCATGTTCAGGTAAGGACAAGATGACTGGGAAAAACCTGTGCAGATTAACTTTGGTAACGTAGGCAAGTTGGGCCTGACTAATCTCACCATCTGTGAGAACAGCTGTGACAAAACAGCTCCTTGCACTAGGGTAGGCAGTGTTTACTTTGACAATTGGAAGGTTTTTGCCCTGTTGGGACAGGCAGACTCTTAAAAATTGGTGGAAAATTGGTTGAGCTGCTGGGCTCAAAGGGCTGCACTCAGCAGTACAAAATTCAGCTGGCTACACAGCAGCTTTGCAGAAGTCTCAACAGATGAGCTAAATATGAGCAATCAGTGTACACCTGCAATTAGTGAGTTGTTTGGAAACCATTTTTATAGACCTAGTCCAACACCACTGCCATGGGGATGGAAAGGGCCAACTGCATTAGCAAGAGTACGGCCAGAGAACCAAAGGAAGCAAATCCTTCCTTCCAGTAGGCACCTGCAAGATTGCATCATCACTGTGTCTGGTTCTGTGCTCCCTAGTACAGGGAAAGCAGTGAATCAAGTCCAGTGGAGGGATGGATGTAAGTCCATCAAAAGGATGGGGCTTGTGTATGTGATGCACAAGGAAAGGCTGAGAAAATAGTTCACTGGAAGAAGATCCTATAGTTGTCTGCAGGTACTTAGTAGGGGACAGAGAGAAGAAAGCCACTTTCTGAAGATTTGCAGTAAAACTAAGAGACAATAGGCACAAACCACAGCAAAGAAACTTCCTGCTAGACGCAAGGAGAAAACTATGCAGAATGGGAATGGTCAAACACTGGAAAAGGGGGTATGGAGAGAATGAGAAATGACCACGATTGGAGATACTGCACTGCACGCAGGCCTGAGCAACCTAGTGTGACCTCGGGGCTGTCCTTGCTTTGGGCCAGGAGACTGCAAGGCATCTGCTGCATACCAAATTCCTTTTAATAAAGAATGCGTGTCTGAAGACAAATTTTTACCTTAGAAATATCAGGATTGTTTTCCTGTTGTTACCATATCTCCCTCTTTCAAGGTTGGAGGTTGGGGCAACAGCGTTCTCGTATCTTAAAAGTATGTCAACATGGCAAACAAAAGCACAAAGGTCAGCATTAGCTTCAACACATCTTAGGCAACCAAAGGAAACAACACTGCCTTCTGCAGAAGCAACAGCCTGCCTTCAGATCCTGGCTCCAGCTGAAACTTCAAGCTTAGGGCAACCCCTACCCACACACCAGGGCACTGCAGCTCAGCGTCTCTCAAGCGTGAGAAACACACCGAGGATTACAGCTGGCCCCAGCTTCTGCACTGTGGGTGGGCACCCATTCAAAGTAACTTTCACATCTCCCAAGCAGAAAACAGTTGGCCAGTCCTCAATTACTAGCAAAACTTCGGTTCAAAAAGAATACCTTAAAAAAAAAAATCCAAATTTATATGCCGTAGGTAATTTCAGAGTGGTATTTTCCTCTTATGCAGGAGAAAAGGAAAAAGCTGAGGAAACCAACACATTAGACAGAGATTCTAAAAGATGCTCCTCTCTATGAATACATGCTACTTATCAATGGTATTGTTCAGACTAGTGAGTTTTCCAACTATCAAAATTCTTCCTTTTCACTCTCTCCTGATCTCACAACTTCGATGGAGTTCTGCAAGTAGCCTTCTCAGCAAGACTGTTAGGGAAGTTGGTGTGTGGAGATATCTGCGTACATAAATGAAAGCACATTACATTTATGTGACTGCAAAAAGCTAAGCAAAGTTCTATTTCTCATGGCTTTTTTTGATGCCAGAGCCTCAAAAAACTCTGTTTAGAAAGGTATCAAAGTACTGGAAGTATCTACTGATTGTTTAAAGCCTTGAACTTGCTAGCCCTCTTCATACACAGTACTATTCATCACTCTATAGCTCAGGCCTAACCTACAGTCTTTTATTTAGCAAATGAAAGTTCTTACACAAATCACAGCAGTCCTTATCTGATACAGCAGTGATAACAGCAGACTTAGAAAACGCCATCATTCACTCTGAATTGAGTGGCACATTCAGAAATACTCATACCAGCTCTGACCAGAGATAATACCACACCTCAGCTGCCTAGAGCCAGGAAGCACTTTAGTATGCAAACTCCTGCCATCAGAAAATGAGAGGCTTTGGCTGGCATTTCACCTGGAAATGCTTTTGCTCACAGCAGCTGCAATGTGAAGTTTTCACAGAACGTCCAGACCAAAAGAAAGAAAAAAAAAAAAAAAAAAAAAAGATTGCCCCAAAAAGGTTTTAGGAACACAAGAACTCGATTGATGTGAATGTTCACTCACCTTGCTCGTGAAGCAGCCCTCCTCCACGCACCCTCACCCCTGCAGATAAGCTTCAAAGCCTTTCAAAGCACGTTTAGAAAAAGAGTTGGTTTCACACCTGATGGCAACTTATCACATAAGGACTGAAAAGCAGTTATCTAAAACCCAGTACATTTTCCTGCCTTGTTTAAAACACAGCCAATCTTTGTAACAAATGCTTTCACACAGCACTGACCACTCTGTACACATTTATCTTTTTTTCTTTAAATCTTACAAAGTAATTCACAGTGACAGCCCTCTCCTTGACCACAAAGAACAGAAGCCCAGCTACACGTCTTTGTACTGGAATATAGAACTTCATAAAACTGCAGGGGGATAAAAAATAAATAATGACTTTTTTGCATAGATAACCAGTTTTGATGCTTTATTTTGGTGTTCAGAACTGCTGTGAAAACTCTTCAGAGTTATCTTCCCAGAGCAGCAAAGTCAAAAATTCAGTTACTGCTTTGAGGCTGTGTTGTGAGCATAAAACTTACAGACCTGTTTTCCAGGAGAAGAAGAGTGATGTTCTAATTGTTTCACATTACTCACAAAAGAAAAAAAAAGAATTCTAACTCTTTACAAGGTGTCTGTTGAGAATACTACTGAATGAAAAAAGATGAGCCATGTTTTGCCCCAGGTGTCACCGGGACCAAAACTGAAAATTTAAGCCTTGCTTGATGCACAAGACAGATTCACCTGCAGGGAGTCATTTGTCATAGACAGAAGCCCTTGCTGTTCTTGCTGGTAGTGGTATTGATTATCAGCTGTTCTCTTCTTCCTGGTCTGAATATCAAGGAGCTAATTCCACAATCTGGGAGACTTTGTAAAAGAGCTGATTCCATGAAATGCATTCAGTTCCATAATGGTGAAGAATTGCATGGTATGCCTTGGCTCCTGTGGGTTGGCAGAGCAGAGTTAGCAGTGAATGTGCTACAACCAGGCAGCTCAACAAACCCTCAGAGGAAGGATGGGTTCAGCACTCCTTCGATTCACAGGGCTGCTCACAAACTCTTGCTTAGGTTGGAGGAGGCACAGCTAGGAGACTTGCAGAGGAAACAATCCAAAATCATTGCACGTGCTGTGCTGACAACCGAAATAAACAAAATGAAGCGGAAAACAGATTTGGAGATAACCTATCTGCCCCCATCCTGATGTGCAGGAGATATTCTAGATTACCATGGGACATCACAGCTTGCAGAATCAACCAAAGGAGTAACAGCAACAATTGATATCATTACACTTGCAACAAAATAAAAAAAAAAAAAAAAGAGGACTTCTCCTCTTTCCACTTTGTAATTCAGGCAGGAATCAAAAAAGTTCATGCTTTTATACAAGAGCAATAAAAAAAATTAAATATTTATTTTGAATAACAAGCTAAAATTCAAGCTGCAATGTTGGCAATGTAGATTTTAAACACAGATCACAAAAGCGTGCACAAAAATGTATTTGAGCAAAGAACAAAATAATACTAAGAATTATACTAAACAGCTGCTGATTTTAAAGAAACAAAAAAGGCTTGTAATCACTATACAAAATATAAAATGTATTAAACACTACCATCCACAGAACAGAGGTTTATTTTAGCTTGATTATATTTAAAAATTATTTGTGAAGTTATTTATATAGTGAATTGTAAATGAATATTATACAGTAACCTCCTTTTGGTCTGCAAAACCTTTGTTGCACTATAGCACATCCAATCACATTGCAAAAAAAATGATTTTTTTCCTTACCATCAATAAAGAAAAATCATTGATAATACAGTAAATGTTGTCAGGTCTACAAATAATGAAATTAAAAATGACTCCTTCGACTCTGAAGCTATTTCCATGCAAAGTCAGCACTTGCTCGTTTCAACAGAGTGCACTACACCAAGCAATGTCCAGGGTCATAGATGCTCTTGGTAAGACTAAACCTTACAAAATAAAAATAAAAATCAAAGACTGAATGTAGTCATGCAACCCTCTTACTACTGGGTATACCCACTGTGTCGCTTATCAAATTTATTGCCTTTCTGGAATATCACTCAAGGCATCCAAATTAGACCTATGATAAATATACACATAATGAAAGGACACAATGCTGTTTGACACTACTACTGGTAATGTCTGTGCTACGTGAAAGCACCTTTAAAAAGAGCCTATGCGGCAAGAGATAAGTGTCTAAAGATTCAAAATGAATCAACAGTATTGGATAACAATATAATTCTCAACTCAGAAGCTGCCTCAAGATTAGGTGCATCTTCAGTTAATGTAACAGGAAAAAAAGGCAATGGATTTTATTTCATTAATTGCATCCACTCATAAACTGACCTAAGGCCACCAGATGTGCAGACACAACAAATTTTCTTTTCTTTTTTACAGTTCTTTAAGTTGTAGGATGATAAAGGAATAGATCTATTTAAAAACAAACAGCTATTTCATCTCTATTAAGAGGTGGCACCAGGCGTTGGGTTCACGTTCTGAGTGGCCACCTGTGGTGCGACTTCAATGATTCGTGGCTTGTCTATGATTCTGGCCGTGCGGTTGCCCTTCTCTACAATGCCAATAATCCACGCTTGGTGACCTTCGCCGTATTTGGGAGACTTGATCTCGGCACAGAAACGTGCTGCCTGTTCTCGTGGTAAACAGATGAGGAGACCTCCTGCAAAGAAAAAAAGCAGCGCCTTTAATGTCTGTTTGCAGAGAATTTCAACCTTCGTCTGCCAAATTCCTCTTCAGACAAGCACTCGGTGACTTCATGGGTTCCGTCAAACTGCAGGACTCCAAGAAAGGACACAGTGGAAGCCTGTGAGCCTGCGCTTCACAGAAAGAAGTTTGTTCCTGAATTCAGTGTTTGGCGTGTACGTAAATCCAAATACACACAAAAGAGGCTGGCAAAAGGACATCACACTGATGCCAACAAATGACATCAGAAACAACACCAGCATTGTAAACTTCCAACAGAGGACTGCAAAGTGCCTCTACAAGAAGTACACACACAAGTGTTCTGGATAAAGGTCATGTTCAGATACCTATAACCACATACTGGCGGCAGCTGATTCTGCAAGTAATCTTATTGCCTTTGATGACATCATTCATCAAAATAGAAACTGTTACAAGAGAATGTAAAAGGCAGAAAATCAAACACAGGCTTGATCCAGAGCTGCCTCTGACAGTCAGTCTCTTTGACCCCATTGTTACAGAGTTCCCCTTTAACCTTTTTTAGCCTTTCCCATAAAATCTTTTCTTACAGAGACAACAGAAGAATATCTATTTATAAATGCTTCTCAGAAGTAGCACAACAGTTGGTTAGAAAAGTTGCTATTAAGTAAATTAAAGAACCTCTGCATTCTAAAATTCCCAAAGCACTGACAAGGTGATTCTGCAAGCATCATAGAATCACAGAATCACAGGGTTGGAAGGGACCTCAAGGATCATGAATCTCCAACTCCCTGCCACAGGCAGGGCCACCAACCTCCCTATTTAATACCAGACCAGGCTGCCCAGGGCCCCATCCAACCTGGCCTTGAACACCTCCAGGGACGGGGCATCCACAACCTCTCTGGGCAGCCTGTTCCAGCACCTCACCACTCTCTCTAAAGAACTTCCCCCTGACATCCAACCTGAATCTTCCCTCCTTCAACTTAAAACCATTTCCCCTTGTCCTGCTACAAATACTAGAATGAGTTATTTGTTGTCAGCTCTAGCACAGATTTGCAGTGGGCTCTGATCAAGTCATTAAATATTTTGGTGTCACCCTCTCCTACAAAAAGTTACATATTTTTGGTACTGCTTACCTTTCTTGCCATTTATGCTGCATTACAAATTTGTGAAGAACTGCAACACAGAGCAGCAAATTCATCTACAGGCGCCTAGTTAAACCTCCAAGAGTCTTGTGCTACAGGCAATTGATGCAGCCAACATCTGTAAAGTGCTGTATTCCAAGAGACAGCAGCCTCTTGTAAGGAACATCTGAGTATCCCCCACTGGAAGATGTTTTGGAGAATACAATCAGTAGCTTGGATTTCCCCAAGCAGGAATTTGGGCACACGCTAGAGCTTGCTTACTCTTTAGAACACTGATATCACCAGAGTGCCTGTGAGCTATCTGACAGTCCTGTCCTGGAGAAGGGCAGCACACCAGCAGCACAAATTGTGCCAGCACACTCTGAGCCAACCCTGGGCACAAAATGCCATATGCTGAGCCAGCCACTCTGGGCTTGGTGCCACCACCTCCTCCCGGCAGTCTTGTGGCCCAGTGGCTCTTGGACAGCATCTCAGAACCTTGGGCACTGCTACATTTGCTTTTCCAAGCTATGGGGAAGCAGCAACTACTGAACAAGAAAATTTATAAGGATACGTGGACATGTGAAAGTTAATCTTTTGGTTCTGTATGAAGCAAATGAGGTGCCATTGAGAAGAACACCTACCTCTCTCACAGAGATTTCTGAACTTAACATCCAGTTAACAGCAAAAAGCAGAAACACGACAGCATTACTCCACAGGTAACAGACAAATCAATTGCAAAGAAATTATGTGCCATTCCCATGACAGGCTCTAAATCAAATTGAAGAGCAACTTCTGCCAACTTTTGCTGCAGGTAAATCAGGGAAGAGATTTGTAAGTTTCTAAGAGTTTATAAGCAGAGTGCTAAGCAGTCAGAATGGAGGAGTGGAAGTATACCAAGAAAGAGCATGAGAATAATCTTTGTTATCTTTTTCCCATGCAGCCTTCCTGCAATTTTGTATCACTTGTATGGCCACCCTGTTAACATTCTTTAGCAAGAACAGAAAAATATACCTAATTCCAGTTTCCAGCTGAAACAGATACCTCCCACCTGCTGGCTATCACTCACACTTTGATCTATAACCCTTAAGGAAGGCTATGAGCCTATCAGCAGTAGGCCTCTAGTCTGTGGCAATTACAATTACTTCTCTGGCAGGCTGACCAGTCCCTATAACCCTTTAGGTAAGTTCTAAGAGCTTCCACTACACGACTTGTGCTTCCAGCTGCTTTGAGTGCAAAAATCCCATACACAACTACAAAAAGTCTTCACCAGTGCAACATCACAGCCACCAGGAGTTTAAGTTGCTGCAACACAGCTATGGAAAATGAAGCAGAAGTGCCCCTCTGCACTGAAGATGCAGTATTTCAGGTTGTACCAAGTTTCAGAGGTCTGCATTCACCACTCCTGAAGACAAAGCAAACGGGCTGCAGACAAAGAACAAACGGCTGCAGTGGTTTGAGAGTTCATTGGATGTTTCTTTTTGGAGAGGAAAGGATGCAGATACTTGCTATCTGTTCTGGATTACTCTTCTAAAATCGTAAGGGTTTTTGGTAAGTTTTGAATATTGCTATTTTTAAACTGCTGTACTGCAAGCAGGGAACGGTTCCACAGGAAAAAAAAGCAGACTAGACAAAGCCTTGCAATTAAGAGATGATTTATGAACAGTTCATGAATCAAAATCAAAGTTTCCCTGCTTCTACTAACAGCTCTCTCATCGTGACAGCCCTTCTTTTCTATCCATTTATGTTCACAAGATGCATGGAAAGACTGCATTGTTGAGATACCTCTACTACACTAACAAAGCTGTCTGACACCTGATACCAGCTCCAAGAGCAGAACAGGACTGGCACAAATACACATATGCAAGAATATCCCATGCAGAATGTTTTTCTAACTTATTTCTGTGAGCAGTCAGTCTGATAAACAGAATGAGGTTCTTTAAGATAACCACGTGACTGCAACTTCAACCATTACCAAGGAGTTACCAAAAAGAGAGCACAAAATCATGTAAAACTGGAATTTTCAGAAAGCACATCATAAACAGCAGTTCCTGGAGGATGGAACTGATGACATGAGATCTTTCCAACACTGGCTTTTGTCAACAGGTGCCCAGCAAATGTGCACTGGGAAAAAAACGAGTCTTAAAATCCGTTCAAATTGTTTTCCAGTACATTTCTCATTGCCTGCCCACTCTACTGAAAAACATCTGTTCACAAATGAAAAAGCTACAGCATTTCTGGAAGTTGAAGACATCAGAGCAAAAACATACATTATATACTTCAGCATGGAGCAGCCCCCCTAAAAGGCATCCTCCCAACCGGACATACAGATACAGCAGGGCACACACTTGCCTCCATGAACATCGACCCTGGGACACAAAGTATGCAAACGTGTCAGACCATCCAGTGTTAAGCACAGAGCCAACGTATACTGCATAGCCTTCAGGCCACAGCTATCACATTCAGCTCTTATTTGGCTGACACTGCCCTGTAAGAAATCCCCACAGTAATTTTTAATGTAGGAACCCAGTGCTATGAAGAAATCCACATACATTTTTCGAGGTGCCCAATGCTCTCAAATAACCAGCTGTTTTATTCATCACCATCTATCTCTGTTGAAAGGTAAGCCAATTCAGAGTTTCAAAGGCACCTCTTGCTCTCATTCCCAAGAAGGATTTGGAAGTTGGCTGTTTTCCTCTTCTGAGTACTCTTGCAGCACTGCATACATCTGCATTGTTTTTACACTCTTTCAGTGAAATGACAGCCTTGTCCCCAGGGTGCAAAACGAGTCACCAATCTTAAGATTCAGGCACTCAGTTTGCAGCTAAACCATTCCATGCCAACTGCCACTTAGCCAAAAGAGCATCTTGGCTTTCAACTTCTACGCCTAAGCTATTTTTTTAGCCTCTTTGTAACCGATAACAAATGCCCTGTATTCAGGGCAAGCAGCAGCATTACCTGCACACTGATTACATGGACTGGTAGGTAGTAAGAAACTGTCCGGTGGTACCAACTGTATTTACAGTACTGTATTTACAGCTTGCCAAACAGCCATCACATATTTCTGGCCTCAGCTGACTGAAGCTGGATTTGAACTCTTCAAAGGGTTCATGTCCCATATCCTGTTACACATCATCCGAGCCACACACTCTCTGTAGGACAGAGCATCTGTTATAAACACAGATGGCTAAGGAACAATTCAGCAGATCATGGTAAGTCATGCATTCACTAGGGGAAAAGTTTATGGCTCTCACTGAGATGCTTCTTTCCAGATCTTCAGACTGTTTTGCTTCAAGGGGCCCCCTCTGTTGTGTACCGCAGAGAACTTGGATAATACTTTTGGAGAGCAGGAAGAGGGTGGGGAAAGGAGATAAGAGAAAAGACAGATTTGTTACTGCATCTTCTTCATTTCCCAAAGTGAACACACCACACTGAAGAAGAAAAACACAATGGAACAGAAGATTTGAGGGAAAAATGAAATACAGAGACTTTCAGCAGAAGATGGTGATTACTCTAGTAGGCAAAGTGGCCTACACTTACTAAGAAGACAGCATTCAAACCACAGCATCAGAAGTTTTTAATCGCCTGAAGACTTCAAATGTTCATCTGAAACAAACTTGACGTTCATAGCCTGATTCTCATTTTGTCTCTATTCACTGCCACTGCCAAGTGGCAGCTTTATTAAACAGAAATCTCAAAAACTGAATGAGTCAGAGACTAAATTCCTTTCTTGCTTCTGCTTACAGTCCCTAACATCAGGCTTCATAAGCTTAAGGGAAAAACATCTGTATTCTTGATGATCATAGACAGAGGAGGCCTCCCTCAGCCTCTGACACTGGCCCACTCAGCACTCAACTTCACACATTCATAATGAGAAATAAAAGCACAACTCATCTGATGAGGAAACCTACCGCATGTGGCTTGGCCTTTTGAGAACACCATGCCAGCTGTGCTGAGGCACTCGAGTATTCACTGTTCTGGAGTTAATAATTATGAGAAAAATAGGTATATCAAAAGAATTCAGAACCATCACTGACTTTCAACTGCAGAATGTTCCAGATGCCAAACACAGTAATGGTTTCTATAGTAGTGTTTCATAGGAACAGGATGGGAGTTTGGAAATTTGACTGAAGAACTTGACTGTGAACAGTTCTATGGCTAATGCTCTTTAACTTGACTAAAACTCAAACCAACGACGAATCTGAATACAAAGTACAGCATTTATACATTTAATACGTTCTCATACTCTAAGATGGATTTAAAAGGAAGGAAAAGGGTGGTGTAACTGTCACCTACCTGAAGTCTCTGGACAAGTCCCATGCATGAGGCCAAACATATTGCCACAAGCCTTACTGACAGCAGCCATCTTAGCAAGAACAGGAAGGTTATGAATAACAAAGGACACCTCATTTCGCTGCTGCTTGGCAAGGTTTTGTGCATGTCCCAGGATTCCAAACCCTGTGATGTCCGTAGCTGCATGTGCATTGAAAGTGTGCATAAGTCCAGCAGCTTCAAAAGAGGGAGAAAAACAATAAAAAAAAAATCAGGAAGAAGTATTGAGGAAAGCAACGTTTCAACAATATTATGCAGTTTGAATGTATACCTTCAATGTGAATCAGCTCTGCTTGCTGCTGAAATAAACTACGTAGGTCCTCCAAAAAAAAAAAAAAAAAAAGCCCACCCCAAACCTGTTTCTGAAAGGAACAGGAATTTCACCAAAACCGCATGCAGCCTTTAAGAAAATTCAATTTGTATTGAAGATATTAAATGATGCTGAAAATTGAATAATGCAGTTATATTTATGAGCACGCTCTATTAGACACGCACTACAAATTTATATTAGCAGTCCATGATTAAGGAGTTCGCTCCAGTTTCAAACTTTCCCAAGTTGAGGATGAGAGGTTCTGAGTTCAGCTCTGCCCTAAGGGCAAGGACAAGGTTCATCCTGTATCAGTTTTCCCACATCTGCATTCCCTGACAGACCAAGGAAAAAAAAATAAATTACACCAGCACTTAAAGTTCTGGACACTAAGCTGAGGAACTTAACAACAAATGCTGCAGGTCACAAGGGAAGGAAGGAGAGCTGGTGGATGGACAGGCACAGGAGGCCCAAAGTCCCCACCTCCCCATCAATGCAGTGGTGACATTCTTGGGCGTTTGCAACTACGGAGCCCTGGGCACCAGCAAGGCACCTCTGCATGCAGGACAACAGTTCCAGTTCTGAATATCTAAGCATTGCTAGAAGGGCCTGACAGAGGCGAGGGGAGAAAAACAAAACTAGGAATGTTTTGCCTGTCTTTGTTGCGTCCCAACACAGGAGCAGGGCTGAGTTACCTTCCATAAGACAATCCTGGTCATTTATTTATCCTGGAAGACTTTGTGAAAGAATGAAAAACCACTGGGATGATGTAATAAATACCAAATGAAATCTGAATAAATAGAAGATATATTTAACCATCTCCATTCGTTCAACTGAAAAGGAAACATCTAATTTTGTTCTTGGCTCATCTAAAGATATTTTGAACAACGGGAAATCTTGCCATAGAATTTCTATGGTAAAATATTACTCCTACCAAAATTAAAAGAAAAAAAAGGTGCCACACATTCTACACTTTGGGAAACACGTAATATGGCAGAGGTGATAATCTAAAAAGTTAAGTTGAAGTATACAAAAATTAAGAGCTTTTCTTTTTTTTATTCCATTTCCATTTATTTTAAACCAGTCAGGTCCTCCTGAGTTCTCCAGACACAAAAAATACAAGTGAACAAATCCAATACATTTCCCTTAAAAAAAAAAAAAATCTAATTCACTCCAGTGTTACCCACAACACTCATATGAGCCATAATCATCTCCAGCAGCATTTGTGACGTTGCTGTATAATTAAAAGAGGGCGTTTGATTTTAATTTGCGTGCTGCACAAACACTGAACAGCAGAAAGATGTGGCAGAAGGCAGGGATAATGCAGTTGTGTCACATTTCCCCATGGCAATGAAATGAAATTAAGTATGGAACTGGAAAAAAAAATAAAAGAATAAAAAAGAAACCCCACCACAGTCCTTCCCCCTTCCACAACAGACACATTTCTTCTTACCTGTTCGATTCAGCCTTGCCATATTCATCATTGCTTCCTGGTATGCTAGTTCTACATCTTCCTGTGTTACCACTAGTTTGATTTTGTTCCATTTTTCTGGCTAATGGAGGAAAGAGCGAGACAATCTTCTTAGGCTTTTGTCTATTTTAAAACACATTTTTATCACTGAAAGTTCTAAACCAAAATGCACTTGGTTTGTTTTTGATTTTAAACCTCAGCTTATGAATAATACAGTGTTTTACTCGGAGGTGCTGAAGCCTCCTGTTGTGCTTTCCCCTGCTTGCACCCATGTGAAGTTCACCTCAAGGTTTACGAAGCACCAAAGTACCTCAACCATTGCTCTCACTTGCAGAGTGGAGTGGAACAACCTACCCTATGCAAACAACTCCATCAGCACAGAACTCTCTGGCTTGAACTCTGCAACCAAATAATTTTTTTTTTTTCTTTTTTTTTTTTTTTCTGGATGTTGAAATTCTTCATCTCTGGCTTGTTTTTTAAATATAAAGTTCTTCATTTCACATCTGGACCCTCTGATCAGGAAAGGCCACTGATATCCAGAAGTCTAGCTCTCAAGGATGTACACTGTGGCAGGATGTAATCACTCCAGTAAATTAGGATTAAGACAGTTTCATAAAATCTATTTACAATTTAATATCAACACATCCTTCCACCCCTTCCCAAATCTCACATGGATTCATGCCTTCATCACATGCTAAGCAACACTTTTCATCCCAAAAGGCTCTCATGATAATTTAGGAAATGGTACCTTATAAAGAGCAATTGTTTTGTTCAAAGCTGAAGTAATTCCAGATCCAGAAGGAAACAAAGCAACCATTTAACTGTTTAGATCAACACTGTACACTACTTTAATTTTCTTCCTTTTGCAAATAAAATAAAATTACAGAGAACTGAACTACGAAAATTTTTAGACCTACAAAGCCTACACTGCTATTGCAAAGCATAAATGCATACAAAATTTCTTACTACCACAGGTGGAAAAACTGCTGAGAATTGTTGTATGATGCTGCATTGGCATCAAGAGGCTTGTCAAAGAGGATCTTATCCTTAACAAATGAGAACTGACTTCCAGTGGTGTACGAAGGAACTCAGAAATGGAAAGAAGGGAAAGAGGCTGGTCAACCAAAACAAATCTTTTTTTTTTTTAAAGGCCAAGGAAGTACAGAAGTAAGACCAGGATTTCTGAAATTAGGTTGAACCTGGTTTGACCAAGTAAATAAGAAAAGCATTACTGTTACACACAGGACAGGATTAAGGTTATCCTTACTTCTGTTATGACTGAAAAACACAGCCATTTTATATTAGTTTTCAAAGTATGTTTTTGAGGCTGATCATGGAAAGGAAACAGGTAAGAGTGGCAATCACAAATGTGGTGAAAGCAGTACTACAGGCTGAGAGGGCCACAAACACAGGCAGGCTGCAAATTAGACACAAATTACTCCCACTGTGACATCATACCATCAGATACTGGCACAATGGGATCAGCAGACAGGAAACAAAGCCAAACTGTTTGCCCAAAAAACTTCAGAAGGCAGATTTAGACAGACCCTTCCCCTTCAGAGATCTGTCATAGCAGAGACTAGCAAAGCCTTCCTGGAAAGGCAGATGGAAGCCTTTCATGCTTTTGAGCTAAAAGAGAAAGAGACAAAGGGCTGCCAGTTCCCCGCTGCTGACTAATCACTGCACAACTCGGTAGCCAAATTCACACAGCTTCATCACCTCCAGCACATCCCTGACCGCGTTCCCCTACAGAGCCCAGCTCCCTGCAGCCTCTTTACAGCTTCTTTCCTTTGCATCCCACCAGAGCTGTTGCCAGCAACATATCTGGGCCTTGATTGCAGCAATGCTGCCAGTAACCAAATACAGAGGGAAAAAAATTTGTCCTTTTTTGGATCATGCTTTCCTTAAAGCAGCTATTGCATGGTTGGTGCCACAAATCATCCTTTAACAAGTCACCAGGAACTCACTCACAACTGCTCTGTATTTTTTCATTTTTTCTCCTCCAAACTTGTTTTGCAGTCACGTATCTCCACACCTTTCCTTCCTCCCTGGCCCAGGCATAAGCTTGCTGTACTATGTTCCCTCTCCCACATACTTTTCAATACAAAGTCAAACTCCATACTGAAGCCTGATTTACAGCTGGGTTTGAGATGGGTAAGTCTAGTTCTATTTTCCTTCCTCTTTCACAAGACAAAGCTAAAGAAAGGGCAGCACTGATACTCAGAAATTTCTCACCACAAGCAAAGATATATGCTGTTTACTGTAATAAGAGAATTGATTTCCTTCTGTCCCCATTTTTCAGACCAGAAAGTGGTTTTGGTTGACAGTCAAGGAAATTACAAGTACTTGAAATATGTGGAAATTCAGAATGTTGTTAATTTGCAAGTCTGTTTGTCAGTAAAATAATAGATATGTAAAGGAGTGAGATTATGGCCAGAAAACAGGCTATAAAACATGTGTCTTTCTTCATTCGATTTTCCTATCAAGATTATCTGAGGCCTTGATCCTTGTATCTGTCTGGAAAATGCAGGATTCTGCAGAGGCCAAAAAGTCTGGGCCTTACCCTGCCCATTTCAGGGGAAACATTATTTGTCTGGTTGCTCACACTTCAGATTCCAGCAAAGGCTGAAGCTGGTTCTCTCCCACTTTTGCTAACACAAGCTTTGGAATTAAAATCCAGACTAAATCAATTTCAGCTCGCTCCTCTGCCTGTCTATTGGCTCAGTAGTCCCCAAAGCAGAAAAGAGGCATCTTTTAAAAACAAAAACTGAGCAGCTATAATTCTGAAGACATACACTGGGAGCCAGACAACATAAGCAGATGCCAATTTTGCAGTCACATTTCAGTTCAATAGTTACATTCTTGCCCGAAGTAACAGATGGAAATACATCTGCATACATAATGCAGCTACTATTATTCCTAGTGAATGCACAGGGTGACACATGTGAAAGGTAGAGATATTTCCACATACACAAGCAGAAAGTCTATGAATCCAGACAGGGCCTAAATGACACCAACCAGCTTTTGCCAACTATTTGGGCATGTGGAATAGGGCATAATTTCACCCAGGGTGCCAGTCTGTTGCACTGTTAGTCACCAACTGTGTTCATTACTGCAATGTCTGAGAACTAACTAAGAATTAGACCCAATTAAGACAGGCTCACTAAACTCACTAAAAATGGTAAGCTGTCTCAGTTCCAAAAGAACCTTGCATGTAAGAAGATAAGGCTGACACAACAAGGAGGAAGAAGAGGAATTAATTTCTATATCATTCCTGGCTGAGCACTCAATAATACTCTTCATACTGAAAAGTAAATGCTGCAGTTTTTCATTCCGAGGTTTTGAGGGAATGGGGAAGGTCACCTTTACCTCCTGCCTCTTTTTCCTATTTTGTTTTTGGCAGTGTACTCACAATATCTAGCCACTGGTGGACGGCTACAGCCACTTGTGTTCCCAAGGGTTTAGTTAATACAAGCACATCTCCTGGCACTGCATTGTCTGGCCTGAAAGCAAAGAATTCATATATTAATTACAGAGTGAGAGTCACATGTTATTAGGAATAAGTGCTGATAATTAGATTTTCACAGACCCATGTATCTTATTGTGCAGATAAAAAAAAGACTAATTGCTGAATTTCCCTTTGGGATTCATTGCCAAGGGGTATCACTGAACAAAAACACTGCAAACTTACTTAAAAGTACTAATCCTTCTTTCTTGGAATAGAACAAAACTGGCAATCAGACAAACACAAAATTACACCTTTTCTTTCAATGTACTGAAGATACAGTACAGAACAGTGGAGGAAAAAAAAAACAATTTTGCTTACTCAGGACATAAAGTAAGCATCACTAGGATCACAGATAAATTCCTTTGTACAATGCAGCATGCCACAGTGGGACATTCAAGACCAGCTACTGTTAATCAGCCAGAATGATGTAAGCACAGCAATTCTCCAGATCTCTGCAGCAATTAGCAGGTTAACTGGGAGGTATTTATACATGCATCTTGCACTCTGACAGAAATTCATATCCCACAACTGCCTTCAAGACATGTACAGGTTAGAAGCTTAACTGTCCTGTCACAAGGAGAATAAGACCAAAAGATAGCAGGGGAAAAGTAAAAGCACATGCTGCTTAAAAAAAACCAAATAACAGACAGAAGAGATGTGGCATCTGCTCAGTGCTAAGGACAAATGCAGACAGGAGAAAGGACTGCTTTACTCAATAGGAGACAGAACACAGCATGGCATTTAAAGGATTTTCACTGTATCCCATCAGACCAATGCCTTTGATTGTTGAATGATTTAACTTACATTATAAATTCATTAGGCTGACAGACTGTTGTGGCCACTCCTCCTAAAACAATCCAGGGATTTAACACAGTTTGGCCACCAGTAACAGATGTTCCTGCCTCTTCTGCTGCATCTTTGAAACCCTGGATAATTAGAGGCATCACTTTGTCTCTTTCCTAGAGATCAAAACAGAAGTCAGAGTTCCATACACAGCAATGCTAGTCATTTCAAGACTGGACTATGGCTTTAATCACTCAAGTCAAATCCCCTCATGGCGAAAAGCTAATGACAGAAAAGCCAGCCTTGGGAAGAAGTCAGCCTGCAGAAACCACGTTATCCCATAAAGCCATGGTTTTACATTTCCTTGTAAAATGCTGAAGAAACATTCTCCAAAAGGTCACATAAAAGTAGAGAATTCAGAGAGTTCTGCAAACTCAGAACAACTATTCTGCTACTGTACAGTACAATTGTACAATATTATGTACGATAAACATGTATTGTAAGTACAGCCTAGCAGCGTAGTGCAATAAGACAAAGTTAAATCAAGCTGCATTTGGCCTCCACTAAACCTGTAAAATTTCAAGTTAGTTTCTTCTAAGAATGAACAATCCTTTTTTTGCTAGAGCAAGCAATCAAACGTGCTGGTAACTGCCATCAAAAAGAAACTAAATTAAGAAAAAAAGAACCTAGTTCAGTTTCTTCTGCTTCAAAGAGATGCTACAAAGCTGGCACAAGGAAACCAAAAGTACCTATCCAAATTAATACATCAATTGGTAATCAATTCCTGCCTTGAAGCACAGTAAACAGGAGCAGAAACTCCATTTCTGTGGGGATCACAAAACTGCAGCAGATTATGGAGCCACAGAAAACTGAAGTTTTAGCAAATAATCTCAGAGTTTATGAGGCAAGACTTGCACTTCGAACTGAGGAAGTGACTGAACCATCTCTTCTTTAAAAAGATTCAAAGTTTGAGGAGAAAACACTAAAGCTGCATACATTCTAAGTATGTATAGTTGTTTGGGTCCTTCTTCAGAAGCAGATACCCCAAATCTTACCCTGTCTGTCATTTTATTGCTGACTCCAAGGAGCATCAACATGTTGTCGCATTCTGTGACCCCCATGGCATAAAGGTCACTTAAGACATTGGCACATGCTATCCGTCCCTGAAAAAGAAAGGAGAAAGAAAGAAAGAAAAAAAATCTGCATAAGTTCAGACAAACACCTGCCACAAAAAAAAAACCAAGCTTCTCTGCATGAGTTTTGATTCAGACAGCTGCTTATTCTACAGGTTGCTCAGCTCCTGAAATCCATCCATAGACATGGCATGATCCATCACATGCAAAGCGTCCATCTAAAAATGCAGATGGCAGCTCCTTTGACAGGTAAGGTCAGAACTCATCCCAGCTGTTACAGTGCATTTATTTACAGCTGCAAGGAAGCTAATCTGGCAAGTGAAAATTAGTTGCTTCTGGATTGGAGTAACTAGGAGATGGGGATGTGGATGAGAAAGCTGTTTGTTCCCCTGCACCACCCCTGAAGCCACGCTTACTCTCCAGTTTTCAGGACAGTACTCTTCCTTCCAGAGGACACAGCTTGCTTCTCAGGTGCTTTTCCTGTTAGGATGTCACTAATGAGCTGCCTGCAGAAGGCACACATGTTCATGTCTGCCATAGGTGGCCCTGACACCACTTAGGAGCACACACAGCTGCTGAGGTGATGCACCTGTCTGTGCCCCATCACTTGTATGGTGCGAGAGACGTCCCTTCTCTGCCCCTTTTTCAAACAAGAGGATAATGCTGAATTTTGCTACAGCAAATACGTTTGTATTAATTTCTGTGTGAGCAAACATCACTAACAAAACTTTGTTCAAGAGGCCTCGTCTTCTGTCAAAGGTTGCTCTAATAAATCCTGACACTGACAGGACTCAGAAGGGTAACAACCTTAACTACTCCAGTTTTGCTAAATTAATGGATCTGAGTTTCTCAGCAAGTCAGGTTTTGTTGAGTGTAAAGCCACTAAAAATGAGACAAGTGTCCTGATGAAGACGTAACTTCCCAATGCAGTATATGTCCTTAGGGATGGGAAATGATTTTAAAACACAAATTCTGTTTTGTCAATCTGGAAGACTCCATGCATTTTGTTTAAAAAGCTGCAAAACTGTACTTGACATCTGGTTCTATGATCTTAAACCTGTGTTCTTCATAAAGTTCAGAGGCGATGTCATCATGATAAAAGCAATGTGCTTATTCAACACCGTTTGGACTACAGAAATATGCTTTAGTTGCAGACAGATTTATGGGGCAGAGGGAGAAAAAGAAGAAAGACATTTAAACACATTTCTACCATCTCCAGGACACTAAAATCTAATCACACGTTCAGAGTTCTTTGCAATAATTAGTATTAGCAGGCAGTTGCTTTACTTTCTGATGACACGAAATAACACCTCCAAGTCACAATTGAATATAATCAAGTTTTTCATAAATTCAAGAGCTTCCATTGGCATTGAGGGACTCCCTTGTGTATTTAGAAATCAGAACACATTTTAATTTATATCTCAGACTATGAAGAGAAGAATGAGCAAGGGACCGCAGAGTTAGATGGCTATTTGCTGTTACGCTTCTGGATGTTTACCAATACCACAGCCTGTCACTTTCCTTTTCTGGAAGGGGACTATTCAACCATCCTTCACTATTTTCAGTATTTATCAAACCAACTGCTGGTTTACACCCTCTTAAGGAATGACAGATAAGTTCCTAAACTCACAGTGACAACAGCTCTCTACTCTAGCAGTCCAAGGTCAGCGCAGTGCTGCTTTTGCCAGTTGGCAATGCCATTAAGGGAATGGACTTGGAGAGTGCAAGCAACGAGTCCCAAGCAGCAGAGGAAACTAAATGTGGCTTATGAATGTCAATAGAAGTAATGGGATTCACAGATGGGTCAGCCTAGCTGTGCCCCAAACATCACCTAAGACATGACTCATTGAAACACAAGAATCCACTGGTAATTCTATAAACTATACAGGCAAAAGATGGAATATCAGCCCCCTGTCCTCAGTGTTCAGTGAAGATTCTTAAAAGAGCGCCAAAAAGTTCCCTGTAAGAGAGAAGACCAGCCAGTTCCCTGCTCCTGTATTCCAAAAGGCCTCTCCATGGTGCCACAAAGAGGGGCCAGCACCAGTTCTACTACTGGAATCTTTATACCACTAAGCCTGGTTTCCAACTTTCCCAGATCACGTAAACTGAAAAGCCCCATGGTAGATACAAATTTTACAGCCATACATTGTAGCGATAATTCAGATAACACACATCAGGTGTTCTCAAAAACAGAGCTGAAGAAAAGGGGTCAGGAAGGATCTAGGCTAGCAAGAGGGAAAGTAGGAATTGGCAAGGCAGCAGCAGCCTGTCCTGAAAAGCACAGACGTGTCCAGAGCACACTGCTTTATGAAGCCAGGTCACAAACCAGGATTCCTGAGTCTAAGGGTTTTACGGAGAGTTGTATTTGCCTCTCCTTCGAATCACATTGGTCTACAAACGAAAAAAGCCATTGGAGTGAAATTAACATTGAAAAGAAAGAAAATGAAGGACTTGAGAGTTAGGAAATGCTGAAGTTATAGCTGATGGTGCCTGTGGATCACAGTGCAGACTGACTGACATGCAATCACAGAAGCTGGACTAAGGCCAAATTTACATTCCACTCCTATCACACTGGCCTAAACCTCATCTGTACACAGACCCACATTTCTCTACTGCAGCACCTCAATAATCCCTTTGTATCCCCGATGCCATTCACCACAACCTTCTCATGCCACCCCTTATAAATTTTTGTTACAAGGTGAGAAAAGTTTCTCAGCATGGTTCGAACCTACTGAGCAACTCTCAAAGAACGACCAACAAAACAACACAAGAACATGCAATCATATAAACAGTAAAAGCACTGCCTAGTGCAAACAATCAAATTCCAATTACAGGAGACACATCTCTTAACTTCCATTTAGTAAACACTTGTTGGAGAGCTCCTTACAGCACTACGAGGGCCTTTTTAAACATACTTGTTTTCTCACTATCTTCTGTTCAAGTCAATGCTTGAGATAGGAAAACCAAAGTTCACAAAGCACTCTGAAGTTGCCAGGTGCTATTACCAACTCCTGTCATTTCAGCTTTTCTAGTTGTAACATGTTACCTGGTTATTTCAGAACCTCAAAAAAGGCAAACTACTGTATGGTTCTCCTAAGTGGAGCTTCCTGTCTGCTGCTTTGTAGCTCCCCTTTAGGGCTTTTTCAAGCCAAATCTCACAGAAGAGACGGAGGAAAATTTAAATTCAGCTTTCATCTACAGCAAAAGTTCTGCAGTATTTGTGGCTGCCATGGAAAGGACTGCAGGATCAAACATCACCCTTCCCTTTTCACTTGCATTTGGGAAAGACCCTGAACGCAGTTATCAAACAGTTACTGCTGCACATCAAGGAAAAAAAGGTCAAAATTGCCATCAGATTGGTGAGATCAAACCAAATCAACAATATATTTAACTAACAATTCAATTTAGCCAACTTACCATCATATAAGGATCATCCACAATAGGATAAATATAATCTGTTGTCTGAACCAACGACAAACCTCCATGTCTTAATGGAATAACACAAGTGTCCATCCCAATTCCTGCAAAGAGAGAAATCCATCACTGAGGTGAGCAACTTTATCCTCAGTTGTCTGTTGGTCCTTACAAGAGACCTTACAGAACACTGCTGGGAAATACAGCCCTCAGTACTGCCTGGGTAAAGGCAACAAACCCCTTCCTTGGGAAAGCACATCACACAAGCGAGGAAGAACAGGCAAAGAATGAGAACTCCTGACCAGAACAGAGCAGAGGTGTAAATAGCTAAAAGCAAGAACGAAACTACAACATTTTTCAGTTTATTGCAGTACAGTAACTACAGTAAGTACAGTAACAGGAGTGCAGTACACTCCTTTTAAGAATGCCTGTGCTTGTATGTATGTTAAAAGTGAAGAGGAACTCCATAAATCAGCGTTGACAAAAGTAAACAGGGCTTCCTGTCACTCCTAACTCAACAAAAACACAGTGACGGTTTTAAAAGGGTACAGTGTCTCATACAGAGCACTACCTCACTTCAGGTGAAACAGAAAGCACCACAGATCACAGCTGAGGCCCTTGGTCAAAGAAGATTCACCCACTTGGAGAAATCCTGCAACAGCGTACCCTCACCTTACTTCTGGGAGGATGAAAGGCAGCAAGCTCATCTGCCAGACAGGGAAACACTTGGGAGAACAGCAATACCACAAATGCAGCCTTCTCTAACTGCGGACACTCAAACAGAATAAGCAATATTAAAACCTCCAGGCATTTGCTGTGATGCAGAAGCATGTACAAAAGTGGCAGGTCACACAGTAAAGCACACTAGCTGCCCATGCCCCCATCGATTATCTCCAGCCTAGAGGCAGCAGCAGGAAGCCTGCCTCCTTCCTAGGCTGACAGCAAGGTGCCCGGCACTGCTTTGTATACCCAACAGGGCAGGGCTCCTCAAAACAAGCACTCTTCAGGGAGCAGATGTCACACAGCAACTTTCCTCCAGGTACAAACAAAACACACTCCTACCCAGCGCTACAAGCATTTGGCAGTCCTTGCCAGGAACAGTGAGCCGCTGTCATCTGAGCTCCTGAGGACACAGAGCAGAATGCAGAGGCTGCAGAGGCAGAAAGCTACAGAGACACAAGGCCTTGCCTCAGAAAAGAAGAAATACTCAGAAGCAGTCATTTAGGGCCATCTCCATCCTCTGCTTAAGCCAGCAAGCTGCTATGCATCATGCTCAGTCTCTCCAGAGAAGCACATATAAACTGATAAAGAGGACTGGCTCACACACAGAGCCCTCAGCTCACCTTTTCATGCCATAACATTGAAGGACTGACTCTGTGCTGTTTCTGACACTCAGGCACCATGGGCTTTCTGAGGCTACATTTACTTCCACGCAAGAAAACCCAGACAAACAAACAAAAAAACCAACAAAGAGGGCTGATATATAAGCAGCTATTTAAAGAGGTGACTGAAAACAGTGACCTGAAGGTCTGCAACAGCTCAGGGAATTCCTACCAAACCTGCCGTTTCTTACTCATGGATACACTCACAGGCATAAGACTGCTCTGAGTAACAACACTTGTAAAAGTGAGGGATGCTGAGCCTGTAAGAGGTAATTTCCCTTTTGACTGTATCTCAAAAGAACTGTGCATACCACAAAGGCTGTAAAGTTACCTGCCTATCCCTTTTAAGCAAAAGGCATTAAAGGCAATTAACACCTAACTTATCTAAGGACAAACTTCTTAAAGAGATTCTCTCACTGAAAGTGCATATTTAAGACATCTGCCTTCTCCAACTTCCAGTACTAAGAGATTTCCTGTTACATAATAACACACGTGTATTGATGGCATTTGTCTGCTTTTTACCTTTCAATACATCTGGACAAGCAAAATCTATCAGTAACCCCATTACTAGTTACAGCCTGTAAGCTTATAAGGCAAAAAAGCTACAAAATTAAACCAAACTATTACCGAAATTAGAAACTTGCCAAAATGAAATGTTGCTGCAAGTAACATTTAATTTAGAGAAAACACACATAAATAGCAATTTAAGAATAAAACAAACAGTAAGTGTCCCTCATTAGGCAATATTAAATTGTAGTGCCATCCCAGTTTGACACACAATTACTGCTTATTTATTTCATACAAAGATTGCCATTGTCTAAGAAAGGGCTCCTTATGATCTCCTGTAGAATTCAATACTGGAATAATGGCTTGCAACCTGTTACTCTGCTAACAGGTAATTCGCCATATTAAAATAATTTCAAATAATGCTTTTGAATACTAAACTGATAATTAAATAACTGCAGAATAAATACTACACTGATATTCCTAAGTTGATGAAAAAATCCATTCTGCGTTGTGAAGTGGAGATCGACCACACAGGGCTGAGTAAATAGGCAAACAGAACACAAAATGCCATTAAACACGTTACATACATTCATTTCTCTACATCAATGTTAGGTACAGTAGCTGGTATCAAAATACCTACGTTTGCCCTGTTCCCCACGTAGGTAGCTTGTGCAGGTTGTTTTCCCTTATTGCTTGCATCACTGTGCAATACCAAAGAGAAAGTGAAGCTGGCAAGAACACAGATCTTGGAAAGAGCCCTTCCCAGGCAGCTTCTACAGGTGAGCAAAAGTTAAGAGTGGGGTACAACGAGAGGACTGAAAGGAAAAAAATCACAGCTGTGAAACAATCCGCTCCCAGTCCCTCATGTTCTCTGCCCCAGGAATGAGGGGAAGGGAGAAGGGAATTTCACCTTTAAGTCAACTAAGGTCTATTCATCGCACAGGTTTAAGAGCACAGTGTACTACTTTAATGTTCTGGATGTTAACTGACACTATTTCAGCTTGGAAAGCGTCTACCAGGAAGAGGGAGGAGGAGACCAATTCCCAAGCACGTCCCTGTTGCTCTGGCCATCCCTGACCATTTTTTGTTCATAACTGAGTGCACCACAGGACGTTAAACAATACTGTTCTCGTGTCCTCGATGCCAACCAGATTACTCTTCAGATTTCTGAGCGATGAGCATGCATTACACAACGTACAATTCTCAAACATTAAACAAATACGCAGACAAAACAGACAGGATCACACGCAACTAGAGGAGCAACTACTTACCCAGCCTGGGCATGACTGCCCCCAGGAACTGTTCATCTTCCTGAAAATGGTTTTCTTGTAGAGATTCGAGCAGCTTCTGTAAGACATCCTGAGGCACTTTGCAGCCTGTGCCCTTCAGCTCCGTGAAGCGGGTCAAGCGGAAGCTCTTGTCCAGTTCGTAGCTCTCTGGGTTAAATGTCTCTCGAACAGACATGGTTCTCTCCCACAGAGTGCTGGCCTTTCCCTCCCCAGAACAATGGTGTTGGTCTCCCTGCTGATCAGTCTAATTGAAAAAATTGGGAACATTAGAAAGTCCTAAGGCCTGCAGTACAACGGGTTTTCCCACATAGAGCGAGTTAAAAAGAGAAAAGTGCAAGAAATGACAGTTCCCAGAGCACTGGAGTCAATTTCCAAAAGGAAACATGGGCCCTCATACTGCAACACGCTCAGCAGAGACATCTATTTGCACTCAACACAGTGCAGGACTGTACTTTCAGCCATTCAAGTATTAATCACGTAAGTAAGACTTTTCAAATAACGGCTCAGCTTCAGTTCTGATGTAAGAAGCTGAAACTCCATCATATACTTGTTCTCCTTGGGGGAAAACAGCCCTGGTGTTACGTCGGTACAGGTAGCAGAGGAACAAAGCTGTATGTAATCAGCTTGCTTTACCTACAAACATCTAGTTTACAGCATGCCTACAGACATAAGAACACTGAAATCTTCCTGGCCCCTCCAGCCCTTTCTTAGTTATCCAAGGATACTGAGAACACACAGAGGTTTGGCCATTAGAATGGTAATGCAAAAAGAAAAAATGATGCAACTCATTTAATAAAATTCTTAACAATGCACATCTAATTTTAGAACGTTTTTCCACTCTGACTCACATGCAACACAGTCCAAAACTAATAGAGGCCTAACTGAAAGGCTGACTTCTAAACAGGAACGGATAACATACAACACTATCCATCTGCCCTGGAGAAAAAGCTTTCAAGAATCTCTACAAGCAACCTGTATGCTGTGGTTTCCTAGAGAGCAAGGATCCTGCCTCACAACAGCAAGAGGAAGAGAGACGATATCTCAGAGAGACGATTGTGCTGTTTGGAGCTTCAGCTGAAAAGGAAAAACTGACAGCAGTATCAGTGAGTTCAGCAGCACTAAAAGTAAGAAGTAAACCTGCTGGCTGTGTAACCCGTCCACCCTATCCACCACTTATTACTGATTATATCAGTGACATATACCTTGAAGTCTACTACTTTGCAGAATATATTTTGTCAGTTTTAGGTCTGGAGCCCTGCACAGGGTTTTCCCTCCTTCTCTGAGAGGCGTTTTGCTTCATTACAACAAATCCCACAGCCTGGGCTCGGCTGGGATCCAAACTCAGTTACCCGGACGTGTCTTGGAAGAGCAATGAGTTCAGCTCATAATTGGAAGGCAGCAGCATGAGGCACTGAGCACTTGCAATTGCAATAAAAAAAAAAAAAAAAAAAAAAAGATATACAAGCTGGAAAACAACAGAAAGCAGAGACAAGGGCTTTTCAAGTAGAGTTGGGTTGCACGGCTTTTTTTGTTTGTTTGTTTTTAAACACTCCATTCCAATAAACTCCAGCAGCGTACAAGCAGCAGCAATGTATGCATCATCCCACAGGAACCCTTTCCCCCACATTTCTGTGCTCAGCAACCCCTGCCCACTTACACAGGGAAGCAGTCACGTAAGGTTTGAAAGACCACTACGATCATCTAGCTCAACCACCTGCCCACCCCCACCATGCCCATTAACCATGTCCCTCTGTGCCACTTCTACCCTTTCCTTGAACACCTCCAGCAACAGTGACTCCACCACCTCCCTGGGCAGCCTGTTCCAATGCATCACCACTCTTTCTGAGAAGAAAGCTTCCTAATATCCAACCGGAACCTCCTCTGGTGCAACATAAGGTCATTCCTTCTCATCATATTGCTGTTACCTGGGAGCAGAGGCCAATCCCCCCCCCCCACCACAACCTCCTTCAGGCAGTTACAGAGAGTAGTAAGGTCTCCCCTGAGCCTCCTCCAGATAAACAATCCCAGTTCCCTCAGCCGCTCCTCATCACATTTGTGCTCCAGACCCCTCACAGCTTCATTGCCTTTCTCCGGACACACCCCAGTCCCTCAGTGCCTTTCCCACTGTGAGGAACCCAAACGTGAGCACAGCACTGAGGCGCGGCCTAAACACTCACAGCCCACCAGGAACTCCAGACAAATCTGCGAGACGCAACCTGAGTCTGCAAGCAGAGAGTGAAAGAGCCGAGCCGAGTTTATTGAAAGCATCCACGGTAACTTTTTATTAAAGATCTGCGGAAAGCCGCACGGAACACGGAGCGATTCGCGGGACCGAGCTCCTCGTGCAGCCCTCCTGCTCCTCAGCACTCACACCACTGCTCGGGTTGGAAGGGACCTCCATTGTCACCCTCGTCAACCCTCGCCTCCCTACAGAGCGGAACGAGCAGAGCAAAGCGCCGCGTACCTACCGCTGAGCGGGCGCCAGGCACCGAAAGGGGCCGGAGCCGGGCGGCTCCCAGCGGCGTGGGCACCGCGAGGCCGAGCGCTGCGGAGGGACATGGCTCGGGGACCGGCGGCCGGACGGGGCTCTTTGTGCGGTAGGAAGAAGAGGAGGATGAGAAGTTGCGCCCGCCGCTCCGTTCGGCCCCCTCGGGAGCGCGCCTCACACAGCGCCGTGCGCGCGCCCCAACGGCCGCGGCGAGGCAAAGCGGGGGGGGGGAGTGCGAGGGAAATAAAAATGTCGGCGGGTGAAAAATTTAACCCGTCCGGTGCCGGCGCTCCGAGGAGCCGCTCGTAACATCGCCGCCGCCGCTCCGTCCCCCCTCAGGGGTTGAGGGAAGGCGCGGGGCCCGGCGGCCTTAGCGCGCACCTCGGGGCCCGGCCGTGCGGCGCCGCGACGGCGGAGGCGAATTCCCCTTTAAATCTCCCCGCCTCGCCCCCCCCCCCTCCCCCCTTCTCCCTCACTCCTTCCCTCCCTCCCCAGGTCTCCCTCTTACCGGCTCTCCTCCTCCTCGCCCTCCACCTCCTCCCGCGAACGGGACTCCCGGCCCAGTCCCACAATGCACCGGGCGCGCCGGGCTCCCTCAGCACCGCCTGAATAGAAATGCCGCCGCCGCCGGGCAGGGGGGGGTTAAACCGCCCCCCCCCCCAACCTCCACGCGCAACGCCCTCCGCGCGCGCCTCCCCGCGGCCGCGCGCACGCCGCGCCCCCCTCCTCCCCGCTTCCCCCCCCCAACCTTCCCGCGCAGCCTTCCCGCGCATGCGTGTTGCTCTACGCGGGTGGGCGCGCTTGTGCCGCGGTGCGGGGTTTGCTTGGCGGGTGCGGGGCGTGCAGTGCAGTGCAGTGCAGTGCAGTGCAATGTAATGTAATGTAACCCACTTCTTGTCAGGGAGGTCCTGACAAAAACCCAGTTTTTGCAAGGAGGGTGCATGCAGTCCAGCACGCAGTCCTGTTTTTGCAAAGGAAATACGTGCACTGGACCCAATTTCTCCTAAGGGAGAATGCATACAGTGCTGCTCGATTTTTGCAAGAAGGGTGCATGGAATCCAGCGTCGTTTTTGCAAGGGGGGGTGGGAGGGGTATGTGTTCTGGCCCAATTTTTGCTAGGGGAGTGCTTGCAATCCTGTCCATTTTTACCAGGAGAGATCCCCCCATTGTATATCATGCAGGTGAAAAGTCAGCGCTGTGCTGCGCAGGTCAAGCGTTTCACCTAAATGGTGCAAAGTGGACTCAGAGATGTTCTGAGTGGGAGCCCCGACCAAGGAAGCTGCACAGCCCTGCATGTTTGGAGTTGCTGTGCTGCATAACCACACAAAAAGTTGAAGTTGGATCAAGCAAGAGCTCTGAGAGAGTGGGCTGGGCCAGGAGACATCTGGTAAGGTTCCAGCGTTCTCCATACTGGAGCTGATTCCATTTGTTTTCCCGCCTGGAAGGGTTTCTGTGCTGATCAAGTCCCTCTTCCCAACCAATATGATGCCAAACTGGTTTTCCCTTAAAATCCATCTCACTTTGGATGCCAGACAAGTTTTGATCAGCAGCGGGTGCTCCCTTACTATGGGTTGCATAGGGCCTCATTTTACATTGCAGAATAAATTATTAAGGAGAAAAAAAAAAAAATAAAAAGGCAGCTAGCTTCTTGCAATTTGCAATTAAGTCCCTAATTAAGTAATTGCCTGTTCATTCAAAGACTGCCTTTTGTGCAGCTGCCTTTGACAAACTCCTGCTTAGAAAGAAGCGGAGAGGGAAGGAAAAGGAAAATGGTGCATTTCTCGCCTTGTTTTTAATTACTATTTTATCTGCAGAGCCCCACGAGCATGGAGCTGAGCACCAGGAGCTGAGCTCCTTCAGGAGGTCAGTGATTGTGCACTTAATTGATTTTTTCGGGCTTTCCTGTACTCCTCTCTGATGTATTCCATGCACAGATGGCTGCTCACAGGGAGCTGAAGAACATCGACCCAATGTTGTCATTGGATGTCCAAGGCCATGGTGACCTCGGTCCTCACAAGGAGGCTGAGCCCACATTCCTCCCATCCCTCCTCTACCTCCTCCTCTTTTGGGGCAGCACAATGGGAATTGAACCACTGGGGAAAGGCTCTGCACCTGAGGGCAGTGGGCATGGGATAGGCTGCCCAGGGCAGTGCGCATGGCTCTGAGCTGCCTGAGTTCAAGGGATGTTTGGCCAACTCAGACACTGGGTTTGGATTTGGGGTGGTGTTGTTTGGAGTCAGGAGTTGGACTCAGTGATCGTTATGGGTCCCTTCCAACTCGGGATATATCATGGGGCTGGACTGAGATTTCATTGTGGCACAAGAACCAAAGGGAAACCTGAATACATCAAAATTCCAGGAGGAATTTGAGGTGGAAAGATGCGGTGACGCCATCCCATGTGTATGGGATGGAAATGCCCTCCCCGTGGCGTAAGCAAAAGCCGAAAGGAAGAGAGGAGGTGCAAGCAGCAGCCCCAGGGTTCTGCACAAGTGAGGAGGGGGAAGCGTGGGGTTTTGCTAACAGAGGTGATGTGCAGGGAAGGGATGCAAACAGCAGCCTCCTGCACACCAAAATTGCCTATGTAGCATTCTCCTAGATTTAAATAATGGTTTCCTGGGATTAACAAGAAACAATTGAATGAACTTTACTCAGCTCTTGTGAGGCCCCATCTGAAGTTCTGTGTCCAGGCCGGGGCCCCCAGCACAAGAAGGACATGGAGCTCTTGGAGCAGGTCCAGAGGAGGGCACTAAGATGATCAGAGGGCTGGAGCACCTCTCCTGTGAGGAAAGGCTGAGGGAACTGGGCTTGTTTAGCTTGGAGAAGAGAAGGCTCCAGGGAGACCTCATTGTGGCCTTCCAGTACTTGAAGGGAGCACATAAACAGGAGGGGGAACGGCTGTTTATAAGGGTGGACAGTGATGGGACAAGGGGAATGGTCTTTAACTGAGACAGGGGAGGTTTAGGTTGGATATCAGAAAGAAGTTTTTCATACAGAGGGTGGTGAAGCACTGGAACAGGCTGCCCAAGGAGGCTGTGGATGCCCCATCCCTGCAGGCATTCAAGGCCAGGCTGGATGTGGCTCTGGGCAGCCTGGTCTGGTGGTTGGTGACCCTGCACATAGCAGGGGGTTGGAACTGGATGATCATTGTGGTCCTTTTTAACCCAAGCCATTCTATGATTCTATGATTGTTTCCCCTCCTCCCCCAGCTTTGAAATATGGTTGTGGGGTTTTTTTTTTTCTGCATACAACTGAAGAAATTCCCCAATCTGGAATGGTTGGGTTCATTGCCATGAGAATACTCTGCTCTGCACACCTGAGGAAGTGCAACAAAGTGGAGAAAACAAAGAAAAAAAAGAAGAAAAAAAAAAAAAAGAAGGAGATAAAGAGCCCTCTGTGCTCTGGGCACTGTCTGATGCTGTCACACCAAAGCCAGCCGAGCACAGGGAACCTTTTCAGCTGTACAGGTGCAGCAGGTCAGGCTCTTCCCTTTGATGGCTCGAGCAAGGGCTGGGAGCACCTCCAATGTCTTTGCACAAGTGCTGCACGAGTTAAATCCGAGCATTGCTTCTGATCGCTGGAGGCTTCAGGTTTGGTTCTGCAGTGCCTTGCCAGATGAGCAACACTTGAACTCTTCCCCCTTCCATCCCTTAAATGTCAGGCGAAGTGTATTTAAATGAAACAATACAAGCTCCCCATCCAAAGTTTGTAAATAAGAAACTGCAGCATCACAAGAGCATGAGAGAACGGAGCTGATTAAAACCAGGATAAGAAACGCCAGCAGAAATTTCCTATTTCACAGTAACGTCGCTGGTAAAATTCTATCAGCTGATTGATCCCCGCTTGTGCTGAGCTCAACGTGCTGGAGACTTTTCCCACTGATGTGCGGGGTTGGGCATATGTCGAAACATATGCATTTACTTAACACTGACAGAAATGGGGCCTCGTGTGTTAAACCATCTCCAAATCTGAATGGGAATTGCTATGTATTTCTTTTTCATGGGAGAACTTTAGCCCTGTAGTGATGACTGGATTTCTCATGTTGGAGAACACATTTCACAACACATCGCCTCGCCGACGTCCCTGTTTTGACAAAGCAAAGTTGGTGCTGCTGTCAGCTCGCCTCTCTGCGCTCCTTCCTGTATCTCATTAATATGCAAGCGGCATTAAATTGTAATGATGTCAGCAGTGCTCTCTGCTGTGCCTCAGTGCTTCCTCCTCTGTGCTCCGAGGAGCAGATGTTTGCCACGTCTTTGTTTTCTGTTGTCCAAGGGGGACTTTGCCCCATTAATCTTCAATAAGGTGCTTTAATAGTCTCTGATGGGAGGTTTTATCAAAAGAATTTGAAAAATCCAAATTAATGATACCTGCCCGGCAGGTTTTAATAATATTTCCCATCTTGCTTAGTGACAGCACAAGGAAGTGCCATTTCCTTTGTGTTGCTGTGTTTCTCCAGGCAGTGTGTGTACAATGATGCCATTTCCCAAATCCCATTCCCAGCAACCAGATTTGCTGCCCTGGGTGCATTTCAGCAGATGCTCGTGTCAAAGGCAAGCACTGAAACTTCCAGAACCTGATTTAGGTGCACCAGTGCCCATTTCTGAGCCAAGCACAGCGTGGTGAGTGTTAGGATGCTCTGTGGGCCCGGCTCTGCAGAGCAAGGTGCTCCATTTCATGTTGGTAAAGCAGGGGATGATGGCTTCAAGCAGCAGTGGGGCCCAGTGACTGCTGATATGAGGTGGGGCCTCCCCATGTGGATGGGCCAGGCTCTGAGCATCTGATCTAGCTGTAGATGCCCCTGTTCATTGCAGGGGAGTGGGACTAGATGATCTTTGAGGTCCCTTCCAACTCAAATGATCTACAATTCTATGAGCTATGATTCTGTGGTTCTATGAATGCCTGCGCCGAAGGGTAAGTCATCATTGCACCTTAGAAAGCATTGGAGCAGCTTTATAGAGAGGTACCATTGCAGCTCCCATCTCATCCTCATTGCTTTTGCTGTATTTCATGCCTGCACGTGGTCACCCCACAAGCACCAAGGGATCACTCCCCTCCCAGGTTTTGCCTGTCTGTTTGTCTGGTTGTCTCTTGGTTTGTGCAAAGAGCCCTGGGCTCAGGCAGCAGGAGCTCTTATTGGGATGTTCCTATAGCTCAGATGTGTCCACAAAGTCTTACGTGAGCCTT